TTTGGGAATTTTTAGGGGATTTTTGGGATTTTTTGGGGGGGATTTTGGGAATTATTTGAATTTTAGGGGATTGGGGATTTTTGGGGGGAATTTTGGGATTTGGGAAATTTTGGGGATTTTTGGGGGGATTTTTGGGAGGATTTTAAGGGGGTTTTGAGCATTTTGGGAATTTTTGGGAATTTTGGGGGGGAATTTGGGGATTTTTGGGGAATTTTTGGGGTTTGGGAAAAAATTCGGCATGATTGCTTTTTGGGCTGTTCCGACCCCCAAAAACTCCCGAAAAATTCCCAAAAAATTCCCAAAATTCCCAAATCTTCCAGAGAGTGACAAAGGAATCCACAAACACTGCGATCAGAGGGGATTTTGGGATAAAATCCATTAAAAATCCATAAAAACTCCGATTTTTTTGCTTTTTGGACCGTTCCAACCCCCAAAAACTCCCAAAAAATTCCCGAAAAATTCCCAAAATTCCCGAACTTCCCGAATTTTGCAGGCTGTGAGATGAACGTGCACAAACGCTGTGTGCAGGGGAGGAAAATGTGCAAAAAATCCATAAAAAATCCATAAAAAATCCATAAAAAATCCGATTTTTTTGCTTTTTGGGCCGTTCCGACCCCCAAAAACTCCCAAAAACTCCCAAAAAATTCCCCAAAAATTCCCAAAAATTCCCAAATTTTCCAGGCTGCGAGATGAACGTGCACAATCGCTGCGTTCAGAAGGGATTTTAGGGAAAAATGTGCAAAAAATCCATTAAAAATCCGATTTTTTTGCTTTTTGGGCCGTTCCGACCCCCAAAAACTCCCGAAAAATTCCCGAAAAATTCCCAAAATTCCCGAACTTCCCGAATTTTGCAGGCTGTGAGATGAACGTGCACAAACGCTGCGTGCAGGGGAGGAAAATGTGCAAAAAANTGAGATGAACGTGCACAAACGCTGCGTGCAGGGGAGGAAAATGTGCAAAAAATCCATAAAAAATCCATAAAAAATCCGATTTTTTTGCTTTTTGGACCATTCCGACCCCCAAAAACTCCCAAAAAATTCCCAAAAAATTCCCAAAATTCCCAAAATTCTCAAATTTTGCAGGCTGTGAGATGAACGTGCACAAACGCTGCGTGCAGAGCGTCCCGAGCCTCTGCGGCGTCGACCACACCGAGAGGAGGGGGCGGCTCCAGATCCGCATCCAGGCCCTGCCCGGGGAGCAGCTCCACGTCACAGGTGCCAAAAATTCCCAAAAATTTCCAAAAATTCCTCGGGAACCAGCTCCGGAATTCCTGGGAATCGTCAGGGAAAAAAACCCCGCGAAAATCCGGTCAGGAATGGGGGAAAAATGGGGAAAAATTGAGAAAAATGTGGGGAAAATCCCAAAAACTTTGGCTCGAAAATTCCAGAAAATTCCCAAAAATTCCTCGGGAATCAGCTCCGGAATTCCTGGGAATCGTCAGGGGAAAAAAACCCCGCGAAAATCCGGTCAGGAATGGGGGAAAAATGGGGAAAAATTTGGGAAAAATCTCGAAAACTTTGGCTCGAAAATTCCCAAAAATTTCTCAGGAATGAGCTCGGAGATTCCTGGGAATCGTCAGGGAAAAAAAATCCCACGAAAATCCCGGTTGGGAATGGGGGGAAAATGGGGAAAAATCTTGAAAAGTTGGAAAAAAATCCACAAATTTCAAAAATAAAAATCCAAAAAATTCCTAAAAATTCCAAAAAATCCCAAAAATTTCTCAGGAATGAACTCAGGGATTCCTGGGAATCATCGGGGGGAAAAAACCCCGAGAAAATCCGGTCGGGAATGGGGGAAAATGGGGGGAAAAAAAAGAAAAAAATCCCATTTTTGGGCCATTTTTGGGCCATTTTTTGGCCGTTTTTCCACCATTTTTTCACAGTTTTTTTCCCGGATTTTTTCCCCAAATTCTCGTTTTTTTCCCCCAAATTCCCAGTGGGCGAGGCGCGGAACCTGATCCCGATGGATCCC